GTGTCTGAGAGTCACATGACTCACTGGTTCCTATGACCGTGTCTGACAGTCACATGACTCACTGGTTCCTATGACCGTGTCTGACAGTCACATGACTCACTGGTTCCTATGACCGTGTCTGAGAGTCACACACCACAAGTGAAATACTAGTTCAGCAACAAAAAATACTGGTGGAAAAACAAAACAAAAAAGTTCTTCTATTTGTCATTGAGCCACACCAGAGCACTCGCCAACCACCCACTTCGACCTGTCTTAGACTTTGCTCTTGGTTTGTTTGAGTAAAGAGAAGCTCATCGACACAAAAATGGCCATTTAGTGCTGGGAAAAAGAAAGAGAGACAGAAACAACAGAGGGGAAGTAAAGAAGTAGGACCTACCAGTGGCACCCTCCAACCACCCACACAGACAGAAACAACACAGGGGAAGTAAAGAAGTAGGATATACCAGTAGCACCCTCCAACCACCCCCACACCAAACACAACTTGATCAAATCAACCTGATAACAAGTGATAAAGAGAGGTTTGATTTGTAGCGTAAAAAATAACTCGTTACAAGGGTTAAGTTCTAAATTGTAAAAAAAATCTTTCATTGTGCAAAATTGTATACACATACACACAAAAGCTGGGTGTCTATAGTCAAATGAAAATAAACGTGAAGCGTTAAGACGTCCCCCCCCCCCCCCCCCCGACCCCACTGATATATATACAGTGCAGCCTGTCAATAATGACCTTCGATATAACATCATCTCTAGAATGACCTTCGATATAACGACATCCTCTATAGAGCGACATGGTGCCCAGGTCCCGATTTTTTCCTTATATCATTACATGTAGTAACATTTGTGGGTGTCTCTCAATAAAATAACAAGGACATTTTTTTCTGGTCCCAACGATTGTCGTTCTAGAGAGGCTGTACTGTATCAAGGAACTTTACTTTGGTTTCATTCAAGTTTTAGTACATGTAAGAGTTTTACGGCATTTGCAACACAAGTAGGATAGGTCATCGCATAAGTAAGTGCCGAAGACTGTTGTTGTTTTAGTAAGGTTTTGCTCGCAACTGCATAAGGTCATATGAGCGCCAAGGGGTGGATGTCAACAGAGCAGTCCTTACAGGGAATCAGGCTTACTCTGCTCACCTCTCTAGCTTCACTGCACAAAGTCTGCTTCGACTATCGCTGTGGCTGGAGTGTAACAAACAAAGACAAGGGGGAGAACTCTCTCTCTCGCCCACTGGCCACCCACGAGGGACTGCAGAGACAGGGAGAGGCTACTTTTAGCGTCAGGGAGATGTTTTCTCACCTGTCTTGCTTTGAATCAAAGGACTCACAACAGCATATATATATATAGCTCACGGCCCAGAAATGTCTTAGTCATAGTTCTAGGCAGTGTTTTACAGCTCTTGCAACACAATTAGGTCATCGTAAACCTGCCCCATATTAGAGATGTTTTAAGTTTTAGTGAGTTTCACAGCACTTGCAACACAAATACGTCATACAAGAGCCAAAGATTAGAGGTGCCGATCACTTTTTTACATATACAAGTTGGCAGCTGTGTTTGTAAATACAGAAACCAACTACACAGCCCATATAGATGCACTTGGATGCATGAGCACACCTACAGACATGATTAGAAAACACGCACAAACACGGTCAAAAAGCTATAAATATAAATAACTACATATATATAATATATATCTACAAAGGTGTGATATAAAGTGGGAAAAGGGGGGTGGGGGAGTGGGAGGTGAAGGGGGGTGGTGAGCAGAAATAAAACCCTCCCAGGTTCTGACCCTGGCTATGAGGTGAAGTCCAACGTGCGATGGGAGGAGAAATGGTCACTTTAAAGGACAAGAAGGCTAACCCAGATTTCGGGGATTTCCAGAAATCTTGATCTACACCAAAAGTGGGCATTGCCCTACCTATAGGAGAGGTTAACTTTCACTGGTGTGTATATTTGTTTGGTTATACAGAAAACGCTCCTGGTCTTTTAAAGAAACTGAACAAAGGTCCAAATACTTCACCTTCGATTTTCTCACAACAGCATTTGTCTGGATAGCCCCCCTGGGCTTAAAAGCAACCTATTGTATGTCTACATACTACATGTCACAGCCAACAGTTTATCGACTTAGTCCACACCGAGACAACAGAAGAGTGTGGAAACAATTGTTCTCAAACTACAAGGCAAAAGAATATGGCTTTTCATACTCATACAGGTCAGATATGATATGGTAACGTAGAATATATTCTGAGATTTTCACAGGAAGTAAAACAAAGTACATTGTCATAAGTATGAAACAAAATCTCTCAATTTGAAGAAATCACATTCTACCTCAAAGAAAAAAAAAATTTTAAGAGAAAAAGAGAGAAATTCTTCAATCACATTCTCCCTTAAAAAAGAAAAAAAAAAAGAGAGAGAACTTGCAATTCCCTTAAGAAGACTGGGGGAACAGATCATGCAAGTCTGACGTAGACACATCTCACAGCACAAGCAGACGGGAGACAAACAGACGTAGACACATGCCGTAGCACAGACAGACAGGAGACAGGTTCGCTTAAATGTGCCATTTGTACGGTAGATGAAATGTGTGGGGAGGTACTGGGCACAGTCCTACGTTATATCATCACCTGACAGTACAGATGTTCTAAGCTCAAAGTTTTCCTGAGGTACCAATGAGTCATACATGATAAATTGTCACCTAACCATGCAGATGCGCTACACCCAAAGTTTTCAAATGATTTTTTTTCTTGCAATTTTTTACTGGTTGCTTGTATTCAAGAAATACTTTTTCCACATATAATCAAATTCTAAATGTTGACAAAAAAAGGTAAGAAAAAATACATAATGTAAAGTACATTTTTAAAAAGAATGAAACTTTTTTTTCTCTTTCTCTTTCCTGAAAAATATTGCTTTCTGACTAGTATATTTGAACCCACTTGCTTTGTATAAACTGATGTAATACACCTGAACAATTCAATAACTTTGCGATAAATGAAACATTTCAATAACGTTGTGATAAACATAAAAATTCAATAAAATTCAAAAACTTTGTGATAAACTGAATAGATCTAATTCAATAACTTTGTGATAAACATAAAATTTCAATAAAGTTATGATAAACGTAACAATTCAATAAGGTTGTATAAATAGGATAAACAAAAACAAGTTTTGAACAGAAATAAATCTAACAATGTACGACAACATAGCAGAACATGAGTTTATTTCACAAGCCAGAGATTCTCTCGTATGTTGTAAAACAGACAGTCGGGGAAGCCAAGGCCGCGGCGCATTCAGGTGAGAATGAGTCGCAGCGTTGGTGTTGGCCAGGTAAACAAGACAGGGCAAAACTCCACACACACAACGCTAACCCAGACCGCACGTCTCCAGTTTCAGTTTTAGTAAGCGTTTTACGGCACTTGCAACACAATAAGGTCATATAAGTGCCGAAGATTAGAGGTGTTACATGAGAGTAACATACACAGAATAGAAGGAGGGGAGATAGAGAAGACAGAAGTGTGATAGGAAAGAAGGAGCAAACTACACCAGAGTACCTGCCAACCACCTACCTCACGTCTCTGCACATCCTGAAGCACACATTGGCTCCACCCACAACCGGAGAATTCTTTTTGTTTGTAAACAAGCAGGGCCACATTGCACTAGGAGGGGCATAAACAACAAAAATAAAACATCACATGGGTACATTTGTGGAACCAAATTACTTTGAGAACAAGCTAGTCAGAGTCTGTATTACTTCCAACATTACATATCACCATAGGCTTGCACAATACACTATCAACAGAGTCGATCACTTTTACACATATATCATAACACATCACACAGTCACAGACACATATCACACACATGTCACAAACAGGCTAAATCATCACACATATCGCTCCACAGCACACATATCAATATCACCAAGGGACAGTACATCACACATATCACAAACAGTGTCCAACACACCACAAACTGTCTAACACACCACACACACACACTTCACAAACAGTCTAACACACCACACACACACACATCACAAACAGTCTAACACACCACACACACACTCATCACAAACAGTCTAACACACCACACACACCACAAACAGTCTAACACACCACACACACCACAAACAGGCTACAACAGCACACAGTAAGACATTGCTACACGGTCGAGCCACCACAAACCCCTGTAGCGTCGTTCCGTCGAGTTCACAAAACTCTGATTTTATGTTAAGTACACCGTTTAAGCAATGGAAATGTAGTTTTTTAAAATGCACACAAAGAACAAAAATCCCACAAAGATGAGAGAGACATTAATCGAAGACAACAGTCCGCTTGCAGCTTGGGGAAAAAAATAAAGAAGACGTGAAAAAAATAGACATAATTATAGCTTTACAAACAGAGGAGAGGTCATAAGGTCACAGCGACCGGGGAGGGGGGGTGGGGACCTTACACGACTGACAGATGCGGGCAAATAAAAAAGTCAGAATTGCCCTCCTTCCTCCTCCCACATCAGATTTAATCAAGCAGTAAAAAAAAACCAACCCAACCACACAGCCACAAATATCAATTAAGTATTTTGATTATGTCGACTTCCTTTAAATTCCAATCATTCTATTCAAACTGGACAGGGTTAGTTCCCACATCCACATCAATAACCTCACAATGACATCCGATTTATCAGGAGAAAATCTGGCAGAAAAAATACACGCACCTCACAACTGATATGAAAAAAAATAACAAAGCAAATCAAAACAAACCAGCCCCAAAACTATTCAACTAATACCAAGCAAGTGTGACTGATAGTATATGCACGCTATATCATTAAACTCCAAGTTTCCAAAATGGTATCAATCATGGATATAAGATTTTAAAAAGACCATGACGGTAAAGGCCAGTAGCATGGAAGCAGGCTGGGATAACTGAGTTTTTCAACGAACTGACAATTGACTATGAACAAATGTTTCATGACGCAATCATTGAACAGCGATATAATATATATTTTCTTGATGTAAAGATATAAAGACATTCAATTCCAGCTGAAAAGCAGGGTTGTTCACCAATATAGCTGGGCTCTGCCTGGATTTCTAGAGGGAAAGAAAAGAAGCACGATCTACGACCTTTCTGCGGAACCTTCCAACCAAAAATCTTTTATATAACTAACTAAAAGATGAGCCATGGTGGCACAACGCGGTGGAATCAGGCACTCGTCAATTTTGGGGTATGTGGATTTATTGGTATCATCTTAAAGGTTGTTCACTTGCCTTGCTTTTGATGGAAAAAAAATCCATCTATCTTGAATAGAAGTCGAGATATTTGCAGTTGAAGGAGAAGGGGTAGCCTATTTTCAGAAGCAAAATTAGCGAGAAAACGGCCGTCAAAGTTTAGTGACCTCCATAACACATGAGTCCTTGAAAACTGCAAATTTACATTTTTCGCGCCATTACTCATCGTTTCTCGATAAATTTTACACATAAGAATGTTTTTGAATGGACATATAAGGTGTTGAGCTAAAAAACAAAAATTCGGAAAAAATATTATTCTGAACTGGCCGAAAAATGCTGATTTCTTCGATTTCATTATTTTGACAAGCGCCTGATTTCACCACGATGGCTCACATTTGTCCCCGAGGCTGTGAGCTAGTTAGCGTCTGGAGCAGGACTACACTACAATGCCCGCTACACCTACAAATAAACGCGCCTCGACTACGGTAAGCTTAAAACATACACCTGTTCACATCTGAGTAACTTTGAGTACTACTACGACATTTGTCCACTTGTCACACACAGGAAAAGTGCAGAACTTTGCTCACATATCTCTCCCTGCTCCACGTCTCACTCCACAGAGTTCTCTCTACCTCTGAGTGAGAGGGGGGTAGGGAGGAGGGCTGCGTGTCCGGGGGGGGGGGGGTGTCATCCCAGCCGTCACTCACTCCCTCACATGCGGTCGCTATGGTAAACTAAAAACATACAGCTATACACATCTGAGTAACTTTATGTACCATACATTTGGCCACATGTCACAGACAGCAGGAAAAGCGATGAAATGGGTCGAGGTATCCCTGTTCAACATGGACTGGTCTGTGGTACTGGCGAGGGAGTTCGCTGTTTGTCCTACACCACGCTGTTCTCTCTACGTCTGAGCGGGGTGGTGGGGAGGAGGGGGGGTGTGTTGCAGTGGATGGTCATCCCAGCGGTCACTCACTCACTCCCTCACACACACGCCCCGCAGTTCATTAGCGGTCCCTCACTCACTCCCTCACACACGGTCGCCCCGTGGTCCATCAGCGGTCCCCCCTCACTCACTCCCTCACTCCTTCACACACGGTCACCACGGGGGCCCGGGAGATTCACCCTCATGGGAAAGCTGGTCAGATGCTCCGGGTCGCTCAGTCCAAGGCCAAGGTCACCCACGTGGCTGTCCTCCGATGCCTGAGGGACCAAAATAGAAACATCATATAGTAGGACACGACAGATATGTCAGACGTTTTTACGAACAAACACAGAGCAGAAATGTGAAACGTCTATATAGATAGCGATATCTTCTGTTTCAACCAATGGCACGCGGGGAACTCAAATTAGTTCTAGTTTCAGTAAGAATCTTACAGCACTTGCAAAACAATTAGGTTATAAAATGCCGGAGATAGAGGTGTTACTAGAGAGTAACATACAAAAGAAAAAAGGAGGAAAAATAAGGATGATAGATGTTTTAGTTTTTAGTTTAAGTAAGAGTTTTACGGCACTTGCAACACAATACGGTCATATAAGTGCCGAAGATTGGAGGTGTTACAAGAAAGCAACAAACATAGAAAAGAGGAGAGACAAGGATGATACCGTAGATGTTTGATAGGAAAGAAGGAGCAAACCACAGCAGAGCACCCGCCAACCACCCACCAGATGATCTTACCATGCATGTTGGGGTTCAGTTTTAAATAAATTATAGGTGGGTTTATTTATACCCTTCATTTACACAATTTAGATCATTTAGGAGGCGGGCTTCCAACCCTGCCTATGAGGGCCAACCCGGGCTGAGAGGGATACAACATCCCAGCAGAGAGACCTGGGCTGAGAGGGATACAACATCCCAGCAGAGAGACCCGGGCTGAGAGGGATATAACATCCCAGCAGACAGACCCTGGGCTGAGAGGGATACAACATCTCGGCAGATCGACAGAGAGGCACTGTAAACATTTTCTCAAAACTGAGGAATTGAACTGGTGTCTCCTGCGTGCCGCAGTAAAGTGCCTTAATGCTACACCATAGACATTGACTTAGAGGGTGGTTGGTGGGTGCTCTGGTGTGGTTTGTTCCTTCTCTCCTATTAAACATCTATCGTCCTTATCTCTCCTCCTCCTTTTATGAGTTTGTTATTCTCTTGTAACACCTCTAATCTTCGGCACTTATATGACCTAAATGTGTTGCAAATGCCGTAAAAACTCTTACTAAAACTAAACTAAAAAGACGTCCAGTTTTATACTGAGCACTTGCTGAAAAGATTCAACCCAGATTAAATAAACTGAAAGCAGTTCAATAAAATCTATAAATAAAAACAATGCAGAATCAAGCCGTACAAAACAGAAAAGTCCTCAACATCCACTCAAATATTCCCTGGACTTTTGCATGCTGCACAAACAAATCCCCCCCCCCCCCTCCAAGTTTTGTCGTCAGAATTTCCCTTCCTCTTTTTCTGTCTCCCTCCCCTTCCCTTCATCTTGTTAGAGAAAATGTTTGTTTTGTCTTTCTCCTTAACAATTTTCCTTCACATTACCATGTAAGAACAATTCCCTTAACATAATGACATTTTTTAAACACCTTAGTTCAATAATTCATAACGATATACAGCCACAGCTAACATGAAGAAAAAGGAATGTTTACAAAAAAGAAGAAAAAAACCTCAAATCTACCAGGAGGACATTCATCAAACAGAATAAATAAATGAGGTTATACATCGGCGGTAGACATGGGATGGAGAACAGCAGAACAACAGACGAGAGAGAATTATGAACAGCAAAAAAAACAACCAACAACCGTTCAGCACAGTATTAGGGTCAATCAGTGAAAAGCTCACACGAAGCAAACGACATGATTGTCAAATTACTCCAGCCTGTCCATTATTTAATTTGTCTCTAGATCTATTTTACAAATTGGAATCAGGCCCTCGTCAATTTTTGGGCATATGGAGTTATTGGTATCATCTTAAAGCTGGTTCATTTGTCTATCTTTCAATTAAAAAAACCCCAAACCCAGTCTATCTTGAATAGATGTCGAGATATTTATAGTTGTCTTTTTTAAAGTCACAACCTAACACAAATGTATAGAGACAACTATTAATGCAGTGTACGCTACACCACTACAAATGGCCTACATTCTACTTGTTTTTAAAAAAAAAAGTTATCAGAATTGTTTCATATCATTCTGCTTCTGAGCCTTTAAGTTGAAATAATTAGTAGTAAGCTGTAGTAATGTTAATAATATTACACGACTGTCACCTGGCAGAGCAGACTGGCAAGGACGACGCGGGACACGACACACACACGACACACACACTGAGGCACACACTAAGAAAGAAAAGTTCACAACAAGCAGAAAAACCAAAACAAAATAATACACCCCCCCCCCCTCGAAAAAACCCCTCACAGGCCAGCTGAGCCCAACACACTGCAAAAACACATGCAGACAGAAACAAAACAGTGGCCAGATGATGACCTGTTGTCGCTATAGCAACAAAAGGTGATTAACCGTACCTTGGAAAGAACAAGTGAGTGAATACACAAAGAAATCTTACTACATCTGGGTTGCAAAAACAACAACAAAAAACAACAACAGAAAAATCCCCCAAACCAAACGAGAAGGTGCCAAGCAACAAATTTACAACACCAAGAAGAGGAAACCACAGCCATGCTATGCCCAATCCAAACATTTCAAAAAAAAAAAGAAAAAAAAATGGGGAGTGGGGAGTGAGTGGGAGGAAAAAAACTACCCCTAAAAGTGAAGAAAAATCCAGACAGCAAACTGTGAGAGGCCCACACCAAGCACAAAAAAAAATCATTAAAAAATAAGATACGGATCATAGCTGTTTGATAGGAAAGGAACCCATCCCTACAACAAGTGGAGAAAAAACCCAGGAGTCAAACTACGAAAGGCACAAGCGCACGACAAACCACGCCACAAATAGAATAAATATATATATATATATACCTCATGCATTCGACGTATCCATCTAGGGAAAGTGAAAGAAAGAAAAAAGAAAAAACAACAAAAACAAATGAATAAATGGTATTTCAAAAAGGAACAAACAAAGGCTCATTGATACAAATAAATCTTAGCTAAAAATCAACGGTCATACTGATGGATGGATCCACTTCTGGGGGCAGGAAAAAACAAAACAACAGCACAAGACATCAAGCTAAGACAATTCTTTGGCAAAAACAAAACAACGACACAAGACGTCAAGCTATGACAATTCTTTGGCTAAAACAAAACAACGACACAAGACATCAAGCTAAGACAATTCTTTGGCAAAAACAAAACAACGACACAAGACGTCAAGCTATGACAATTCATTGGCTAAAACAAAACAACAAGACAATTTTTTGGCAAAAACCAAACAACAACACAAAACGTCAAGCTATGACAATTCTTTGGCAAAAACAAAACAGCAAGACATTTTTTTTGGCAAAAACAAAACAACGACACAAGACGTCAAGCTAAGACAGTTCTTTGGCAAAAACAAAACAAGACAAGACGCCAAGCTAAGACAGTTCTTTGGCAAAAAGAAAACTCCACACAAAGAGCAAGACGCGACGAGATCTATTCTTTCTTGAATCTAAAACCACACAGAGGAGGGGAGAGAAACATGCTTCAGAGAAGAGAAGAGAAGATAAGATAAGAGAAGATAAGATA